CTGCCCTATTTTCTTTGTTAAAAATCGCATTCTGTGAAGCATACTTTAAGAAAGGATTTCGAGGGATTAGTGCCAAAAGTCGAGGTAGCTACAGCCTCTATGCGTGGAATGAGAATAAAACGGATGATCTAAAACGTCTTTAAAGAATGAAATCATCCGGTTGAAAAACCTTTGTTTTTATCAAATATTTATGTACATAACAAAAATTTAATACATAGAAATTTGTCTATGAATGATAGTAAATAATGTGATATGAATTAGGAAATATAATGAGAGTTCTACTTTGTCAAAATAAATAACTAAAGTTCAAAGTATTTGCGCAAATTAACTGATGATTCTCATTCATTATTAAATTGTATACTCCAATTGATCATAACCTAATCGTAAGTCATTTCATACAATTCCAGTTTTTAACATACCATTCTATTAATTTACAAATCTCAATAATTTTGCGTAATAATTGTAAATCATATCAAAACATTCTCGATATTTATTATTAAAGAATGGGATACCCCCACATTTATCATACGAAAAGTACTCACTGCAAGTCGCCGATAAGGCAAACAAAAATGTGATAAAAGGTGTAGAACCGTTAGTAAAATGAGTCAATTTAAAAAAATAACCGTCGCTTGGTCTCTCCCAATTTTTATAAAAAGATGATATAAGAACCGGAGGTACAGTGACTTCCCGTATCAATTATTTAATCAGTTATAGAAATAGTAAGGTATGCGTTTATTTTGTTAAACCTTGACACATTCAGCTGATAACATATCATTTAATTAATTTTATTACGTGCAAATCATACAACACACGGATGTAGTAACAATTGTAAAATAATCGGTAAATAATGGAAAAACAGCTTAACACATTATTTTTTATATATTTAAAGATTCTCATTCGTTCCTTTCTAATACAATTGACACTTTTTTGTTGTATTTCATTCCAACGGATTTAATTTCCATACCTCCCACCTTTAAGTAATTTCACGAGCGCTTTTTAATGTTTCAACCAATTTTTTATATATTTTACCGAAAACAATGCCGGAAAGTACCTGTTAGACACCGCACTCGAAAACCATTAGCACCATGAGATTCTACGTACTTTTTTACACAATGATCGCCTCTCAATACTTGAGAAATACCTCCCATCTTCCAGTAATTTCACGAGCGCTTTTTTATGTTNCTTTGTGTCAGCCTAATCACATATTGTGTCAATACTTATCATTTTATCGTAATTTAAAAACTTGGAAATTGCACAGTACACTATAGGAACTACGATAAATTTTCCCTAATCGGCGCCATGTTTTTAGGCTCCTCCCATTTGACGGATCCCAATAGTCCTTGCTATATTAAAACGCTACTGATTTTAAGTGTGTTTTCAATCTTACAATTACTCGTTGGTTTGCCTTTTACTAACTATTGTAATTGAAGACTTAAATCATTAAAACATTTAAAAAGAACAACAATGGCGTTGAGTTTTGCACAATTACACTATTGAAAATGCTAATAGGTTTGCAGATATACAAAAATATAGATAAGCTGACTTTTTATGCTAATTGTAAGTATACGTTGTTTATTTTCCTGAGAAAAGCTGTAGAAATAAAAATTTGATTAGTATTTGTTAATAATTCCGAAGGATAATAGATGTAACAGGAAATTGCATCCACTAGTAGCACACTTAGAGGAAAATGTATTTCCTGTGGCTTTACCAAAAGAAAAAAAAAAAAAAAGAACGGAACTGTAAGCGTTCAGAATTTGCAATGCTGCAAAATGAAAAAAAGTTGTATCAGTGACTGATTACGTTAGTTACGCGAAGGCGAAACTTCCTCTGACCAATTAATTTTCTTTCCCTACATAGACAAATACATATACATGTATATACTATGCATGTATAGGTATAATCGAGTTGTAGAGAATACCGATAACAAGTTTATACAACAGCTTATTACTCATAATACGTCATACGTATCTGTCTCCGGATATCCCTGGTGATGTCTGATAGGTCAATTAATGAAATAATGCGAAAATTAAACAGAAATTCCATTGCATTCCAAATGGCGATGATATTTTATTTATTCCGTACTTGTTTAGATCCTAGATCTTTTACAAGTTGACCTTTTTAGGTCTACAGTCTTAAATTTCAGTCACAGTGTATGAACTATGATTACAAACTATGTACATTCCTACACGTTTATGTATGTCTTACATCAATATAACTAATATCCATTTTTCTGTATATTTATACCTACATACTCTTATCTGTTTACATTACAATTCATTTCATATTAATGATCGTTGATCTATTCTGACAATATAAATGCTCGCAATTTGAGACAATTTTTGATATAAAAGCATAGATTCTTGGCTTGTTGTTCATCTTCCACCATCAGTATCTCAGAAATACTCAGATTTTTTTTTAAGAAAACCTCCCTAAACATTTCGTATATCGGGCAGTCCTTTAGAATATGTTCAAGTGTCTCGTTTTCTTCCAGACTACATATCGCGCACCTTTCGTCAGTCTCAATTATGTATTTAACCTCTTTTAGTTTTATTCTTATCTGTTTTTGGCCTGCTAATCTTAATTGTGCAATGGCACGAATCATATATAATGGGATATTGAACTTCAGGTATTCAGCACCATCAAACTCCTCGTATCTGATTGTCTTGTATAGAGGGTGGTAGCTAGAATTCTCCACTCTAACTATGTCTTGGTCCGTGTTGAAGTTAACTATTTTCTGGAGTGCTTTGTCCAGATCAGACTTGAAGTCTACATTCCGGGGATCTAATACCAGGTCATATTTTGTGACTATTGTCATTGTTTTGGAGTACCAGTTTCTTCTTTTGTTGTTCTTGGGAGTATTATGCAAAGTCATTAGTTGGTCCAGACACCGTTTGGGATAACGATGTTCTGGCATGTTGCTTATTTTAGTCCAGAGATTGAAAATTCGTTTGAC